TGCCAGGCCCTGAGGCTTGCTGTCATGCTGGGCCCCTGAGTTGTGCTCTTTCCCTGGACAGAAAATGCAAGCTGGTGACCAGTGGGCCTTGGCTGGAGGTGGCTCCCATCGCCCTTGGGGACGTGTCTATCATCCCAGAGAGCCCAGAGGCTGAGGGGCACACGCACAGCATTGCCCTGTGGGCCGTCAGTGACAAGGGGGATGTGCTGTGCCGCCTAGGCGTGTCCGAGCTCAACCCCGCGGTGAGCACCTCCTGGCTCCTCCTGGCTGGGCCGCCCCGTCCTCCACGTGCTTCCTAAGATCGGCTCTGGCTCTGGAGTCAGGCTGGCTCAGGGCTCCCCAGGCCTGCCCAGGACGGTCCCTGTGGATGGAGCCAGTCAATGGGCCCTCTGGGCGGTTGGTGCTGAGGATGAGTTGACATGAGGAGCTCCCATCTTTCAGGGCCTGTGCTAGGGGTCAGAGGGACAGAGGTAGGCCCAGGTGACGTGGAGGATGTGTGGCACCTCGTTGAGGTGCACATGTAATCATTTTCCGTGCCGTGCTTGAGAGATGAGAGGCCAAGTCCAGGGTCTAACAAGAGGCCAAGATCAGACTGTGGTCAGGGCAAGTCAGGCAGGGCCAGTTCAGGTGTCAAAGCTTCCCTGGACACCCTGCAGTCCCCCAGGTTTCCCACCCCAGGCAGGCTTGGACGCTGGACCTTGCACTGTAGCTGGGCTTGGGGGTACAGGGGCTCCCTGCCTCTGGGAGCCGCTTCAGCTCTCCTCCTCACTGCACCCAGGGCTCCTCCTGGCTGCACGTTGGCACAGACCAGCCCTTCGCCTCCGTTTCCATTGGGGCCTGCTACCAGGTGTGGGCTGTGGCCAGGGATGGCTCTGCATTCTACAGGGGCTCTGTGTCCCCCTCCCAGCCAGCTGGTGAGTGCCGCCCTCCAGGAGGTCCCCAAGGGCCCAGGCTGGGGTGGGGCATGAGAGTAAGATTCTAGCTCGACTTGATAAGCGCTTAGTGGCATCTCTGGACCAGGCATAGGGGCCAGCTGGGGCCCCACCCACTGTCATAGCTGGTGACGAGGCCACCCCTTTACAGCTATCCCCATGCCCTGAGCCAGGCCTGTCTGACCCTTGCTGGGTGACCCACTGTGACCACTATAGACTGCTCTTTGCTGGCAATTTGGAAAGTGTCCCCTGGGGGAAGCTGGCACAGGGTAGACAGAGGGGTGGCTTGAGGGGCATACAGCTCCTTCCACTGAATGGGAGAGTTTGAAGGTAGCCACTGTGACCAGCTCTGCTGTGTGCCCGGCTGGGCACCTTTGTGTCTGCCTTGGTAAGGCTGGTCTGTTGGGCCCTCTGTTGAAACCTGCCACACCCCTGGCAAGGCTGGGGTGTGGGGTGGATGGCTGGGGTGTGGGGTGGACGACAGGGCCTGGGCAGCCTTGCTTGGCCCTCAGCCCCCACTAGGCCTCAGCTGCACATCTGTGTTCGGCTGGGGACTGAGGCTGGCTGCATGTGGACTCTCAGATTTTGTGGGTGGCCCCCTGAGTCAGCTCTCCCATCACAGGTGACTGCTGGTACCACATCCCCCCTCCCCCCAAACAGAGACTATCACAGGTGTCTGTTGGGCAGACGTCTGTATACGCCTTGGATGAAAATGGCAAGTGGTTTCCGTTCTTGCATGGTGGGCCGGGAGGGTGGGGTTCCCCAAGGGAGGGTGGGGTTCCTGAGGGACAGTGGGCAGGCACCGACTCCATCAGGAGGGGACGGCCTGCCTCTGGGTTTCTTCTTGATGTGACTGGAATTGTCCAGGCTTTTCTGAGCCTTGTTTCCCCTGGGGACATGGAGCGCCAGGTGTCAGAGCCAAGCAGTTGGCCTGCATGTCAGTATGCCCTTCCCACGCTGTGATGACCCTGGGGGTAGGACACTGAGCTGCAGCCCAGGTCTGGGCCAGGACGGAACAGGACAGCCCCGAGGTCCCCAACGCCTTCATACTGCCATGAGAGATGTCCAGCCTGAGGCCAGCCTTGGTGCTAGTCTCCTCCCCAAGTTAACCAGGGTTGGGTGGTCAGCGACTCCAGATGGCCAAGACCTAATAGAGCAGAAAGCTGGTCATTGCCACTTCCTGTTGAGGCTGGGTGACAGCATGGCAGGGCTAGCACCAGGAGCATCTTCTAGAAGATTCCATTGAGGTCTGTGACATGGGAGCCTCACAGGAAACACAGGCTGGCTCTTGCCATCCCTGACCCTTGCCTGGTCACCTTAGGCAGGCCTCTGGCCAGTTCCCTTCAAGGTCCCGTCGTGGTTACGGGTGAGGAGATGCCAGGAGGAGGCGGAGTGCAGACCTGAGCCCAGGTGCTTCTCCAGATCCGGTTCTCCATTCTGTTTAGAACTCTTTGCCCTCAGTTTGTACCTCAGTAGGGAGAGGTGACAGCCCCAGCGCCGCCCAGCACAATGGGACGATTATGAAGCCAGGGAACCCGGGTGTGGAAAGGGCAGAGCTGGACACCGCCCAGGCCCTGCTGTGGGTCAGCGAGTGCGGGGTGTGAAGGAGCAGCGGGCGCCTCCTCCTCAGGCTCCCCGACCCGCTGCACCCCAGGAGGGGCCCTGACTCTCTGCTTCTCTCCCCAGGGAACCTGTGGTTCCGTGGAGGGATCACACCCAGTTACCCGCAGGGCTCCAGCTGGGAGCATGTGTCCAACAACGTGCGCAGAGTGTCCGTGGGGCCCCTGGACCAGGTGGGGAAGGGGGTGGCGGGTGCTGGGGTCTCTGGGCTCCCTCCCTGGCCTCCCCACTCCCACCCCAGCTGACCCACTGCAGCTGGGCCGGCTTCACTGGGCCTGTGTTCCAGGTCTGGGTCATCGCCAACAAAGTCCAGGGCAGCCATGGGCTGAGCCGGGGGACGGTGTGTCACCGCACAGGCGTGCAGCCCCGAGAGCCCAAGGGGCAGGGCTGGGACTACGGCATCGGGGTGAGTGTGTGGCCACCCTGCTGTACGCCCTCCTGAGGCGGAGCCATTGAGCTGGCCAGCCCAGCTGGGACCTGACCTAGGGGTGTGGGGAGGCCCCCGGCAGGGCCCCTTGGGGGTCCTGAGGCCTGGCTGATGTGGCTTCTCCTCCCAGGGAGGCTGGGACCACATATCTGTCCGGGCCAATGCCACCAAGGCCATCCGGAGCGTGTCCCAGGAGCAGGAGGCCCACGGCCCTGTCTGCTGCTGAGGCTGCCGCCCAGTCACCTGGAGGCTGGGATGGTGACAGGCTTGAGGATCAGGCTTGAGCCCTCCTGTGCTGAAGAGTGCCCCGCGAGAAGACATCGTCAGGACGACTCAGGAGGGCACCTGGCGGGTCGTGGCCCCTTCAGAGGCGCAGGCTGAAGTGCCAGGGTGTGGAGCCCACACGTGTCCCCCGTCTGCCAGGAGAGCTGTGGCGCGGGGAGGGGCCCTGGGCCCCCGCCTGTCCCATCTGCTCCTTGCCCTGCGCTGTCCACCTGCCCAGGCCCTGAGCCTGGAGCTCGGAGCTCGCCAGGAACTCTGGCCCTGGGAGCAGAGCCAGGGAGGAACCCTTCTGAGCCAGGTGCCCCAGATGGCATCTGGGCCCTGCCCTGCCCCAAGAGAAATGGCTGCAGGGCTCTGGACCCCCTGCCACGGGCTGTGGTCATTCTTCAGAGCAGGGTTTAGAAGCAGATCTAGTTTGGAAAGTGAAACAGAGGTGGTGAGCTGGAGATGGATGCTCAAGTGGAGGGCCTTCCCCAGGTGAGCTGGGCCTACTGGGTGCATGGAGATGTGCCCAAGTGCGGTCACCTCAAGAACCTTCCATGGTCGGGGAGGCCCCTCATATGGAGGATCTGGGATCCTGCTGCAGGGTGGCCAGGTAGAGGGGAGCAGTGTCCTGGGCCCCCCAACATTGTGGGAGGCAAGACTGCTGTGGGCAGGGTGTGGACAGGATCCCCCCAGCTGTCCTGCCCCCAGGGCAGGGAGAAGGTGCCTCCCGCCCTGATGTGAGAGCCCTGCTGTGCCAGGCCAGGAGAAGTGCTTAGCCAGTGGCCCTTGCCCTGGGTAGCCTCCGTGCTGCCGGCTGCCCCTGTGTGCCCCTTAGGCGATGTCTCCAGTCACTTCCTACAGCTGGACACTGTGCGTGGGAGGTGACCAGAGCCATGTCCTGTCCACGCTCCTTCTGAGGTGGCTTGAGTAGCCGGGCTCCTGACTGGCTCCCCGTCTGTCTGTCTGTGGTCAGGAGGGGTCGGCTCTGCAGTCATCTGGGATTCCAGTTTGCTGTGGAGGGTTTGTCACCAGAAGCCGACCCTAGGCATGGTCTTCTTGGGGGGGGGGGTTCCTTGGGGGATCCCCTCCCACATGCACTCGAGGACCTGGTGTTCACAGTTCCTGGAGGTGGGGACCTGGTGAGCCTGGGTATGGCGCCCAGGGGAACGATGGAGTGGCCCTGGGCTGACCCTCCGCTTGTCTCCATGTTGGGCCTGAGTGGGCATCGTGGTTTGTTCCCCCCAATGTGACCTGTATGTTTCTGCTGTGACTTGCTGTCTGTAGGTGGCTCTCAGCGAGGCACTGGGTGTCACTCTGCCCCCTCTCCAGAGTGACATGGCCTCTTGCTGCTCAGCACCAACGGTTCACCTGCTCAGCATCACTGTCTTGATCCCTGGGATGCTTTATTCAGTAAAAACTCGCACCACTGTCAACGGCATGGGATGTTTTATTAAGACATTTGATTAAGATGCACAGTTGCCCGTGCACTCATGGGCCAGAGCATCGTTCGTCCTGAAGTATTTTATTTTCATTTTACGACACAGCATCCATTTTATTAGTACTTTGAAGGGACCATTAGAAAAAAATAAGAGTAACTTTGGGTCATTTAAGAAGCATTTTTCACCACAATGAGGACGGGGGGGGGGGGGGGGGGGGGGGGGCCGGGGGTGTGGGGTGGTGGGGGGGGGGGGGGGCGGCCCCCCCGGGGGGGGGGGGCGCGCCGGCCGCGGGGGGGGGGGGGGGGGGCGGGGGGGGGGGCGCAGGCCGTTCGTTCCAGTTGAGTTTCCTCGGATGGAAACCGCTCGCAGTTCTGGCGTCTGCACTGCCCTGGTGGGAGGTGACAGGATCTGCCTGGGAGGAGTTGGGGGAGGGTGGGGAGCTGGTGGCCCAGGGGACCTGGGCTCCGATCAGGTGGGTGGCTCCAACCCACTTGTCCAAGGGCTTGAGAAAACAGCCCTGCAGGATGGAAGAGTCCGGCCTGGGATTAGGGCCCAGGGCCTGGGTGGAGGGGGACCCAGCAGCTGGCCCGCTGGCTGCCAACCTGTTCCCTGACCTCTCCCCAACATCTGGCATCCTGAAGTGGGACTTGGGCCTCTGAAGATCCTTGGTGTGGTCCAGGGGCGTACAGATCCCCTGCCACGGGTGAAGAAGGCCTGGCCAGCTGGCCCAAGTCAGTCTCTGGGAAGCAGAGGTGCCATCTGAGGGCAGAAAGCGCTAGGAGGCTGTTGTCCTGTAAGGCGGTGACCCAGATCCAGTCTCAGGCGGGGGCTCCTGGACAGAGCTCTGCTGGCACCGTCCCTCCCCCTGCTTTCATGCTTCCATAGTTAGTGCATCTGGCACTGGATGGACGGCACCTGCCCTGACCTGGGCTCTGCTGGAACCGAGCCGCTGGTCTGCAGCCCCGAGTCCCCTCAGCTAGAGGAGGCCTCTACCGTCTTGTGAGCTGTTGGGCAGGTCCCCCACAGCAGGGAAGGACTGGGCTCTGTCCCAACCTCAGCTCACATGGGTTGATGCCCTGACCACTGACCTTCCACAGTGAGGGGCAGACAGGAAGACCTGGAGTGTCCACCTAGCCCATGGTGAGGGCCAGCTCGGGTATTAAGGCCAGACCAGGCCTACTGGGACTGGCAGGAGGGACACACAATACCAACAAGCCCAGAGCCACCGTCCAGAGGGCCTGACCAGGAGGGTTAAGATTGAGTGGCTAATGTCTATTCCTTGGGGTGCCACATGCTGCCCTTCACATGGCTAGGGCTGACCCCAAATTCCCTGGTGCCTTCAGCGTCTGGTGCTGTGCCCCTCCAGCTTGGGTAGGAGCAAGGCTGCCTCTTGGGAGTAGACTAGCAAGAGTCCATGGCCCAGTGTGGTCCCCACCCACAGCAGCTCAGGAGGGACCTGGCTCCCAGGGGACTCTGGGTCAGCTCCGGGCAGAGGGCCAAGGAAGGGGAGATGCCAGCAGGGGTTGACAGCAAAGTGGCTGAGTCCGGCAGAGCCAGTGGGGCAGGAACGCCCCGACAGACGGAAGCAGGACCAGAGGCAGCGGGGCTGCCAAGCCACCCAGTCCTTGCCATCAGGGAGCAAGCTGTGGGGGAAGGGACACTCCTGCCATCCCAGGCTCCACCTTACACAAAACCCCAAAGGCCCCGAGAAATCCTCAAGTCCTGTGCCAATTAGATGGTGGCCCCACATCAGTGACAAAGATGAATAGCAAACTGGGGTGGGGACCCGCAGGAGGCCCAGGACATACTCCCCCTGTGCAGGGGCTTGGGGGCTCCTCTCAGGAACACAACTCTGTCTCCAGCCCAGTTCCACTGCCTCCCCAGGAGTCCCCACCCCAGAAGAAGAAGGAAGCTCCTCCCCGCCAGCTCCCTTTATCAGAGATCATCTGATTAGGGGGTCCAGAGGCTGAAGAGCCGCCATCTTGGCTCTGCCATATTCCCTGGGAGGCCTTGGGCCCAGGGCCTCAGGTTACCCTAAATGAGAAGGCTGAGCCCAGGCCCTGTAGCCCTGCGGTTGAGCTTGGAGGCTCCCTTTCCAGCCTTGGCTTCACCAGTAGCAGGGAAACTTGTAAGTAAACATTTTTCTGGAATCTCCCTGTGCCCAGGAGGGAGCAGCCCACTGGTGGAGAGAGTCCATTTGGGAAGATGAGGGCCTTTCCACACATGCCTAGTCCACCTGGCTCAGAGATAAAATGGAGGACCTGGGATGTGCAGAGGTGCTTTGGGCTCATGCTGCCCAGGGTCATGGCCCAGACCAGACCACTTGCTTGTCTCTGGACAACTGGAAGAAACGGCTCCAGGCAGGTGGCTGAGCTGAGCATTCAGGGAAGATGGATCTGCTGGGGCCACAACCTCGTGAAGTGTCACCAACTGGTCTGGGGCTTGCAGCACGGAGGACCAGGGCTGGGATGGGCTGGCTGGGCCACCGCTGCCGGCCCACCCCCGGACCTGGCTGTTAGGTGCCCTCCCGGAAGCTGTGGATCTGTGTGGAGTACCGCTGCAGGTGGCCCTGGGGCTGGGCCTCGGTGGCTCCAAGCGTGCCCCCGGCCGATTGCTGCTGTTGCTGCTGGTAATGTTGGTAGAGCTTGGGGCCCTGTGCTGGGCCCTGCCCCTCCAGGCCCTGGAGGCGGCCGCTGGACATGGTCAGGATGGTGGTGGTCAGCGACTTGATGTAGTTCTTGGCCAGGGTGAGCGTCTCGATCTTGGAGAGCTTCTTGTCGGCCCGCACGTGCGGGATGACCTCGCGCAGGGCCTGGAAGGCGTTGTTGAGCTTGTGCATGCGCTGCCGCTCCCGCTCATTGCTCTCCAGCCGCCGCTGGACACTGCTCTCCCGGCGGCTGCTGGGACCCTGCCGGCGGCGCCCACCCTCTGCCCGTGCCCCAGCTCCCCGGGGGGTCCTGCTCCGCAGACCCTTGGTCAGCTCCATCCCTGAGCCCGACTGGGGCCTGTCTGCTGTCTGCTCCTCAGGCGTGGCCTCCGTGTCCTGCAGTGGTGTCCGGCGCCGGGGTGGCCGATTCTTGGTCTTCATGGCTGCAGACCGGTCGTCTCAAGAGGTGGTGGCTGGGAGGGGAGGCCCTTAAAACTGAAATCCAGAACACAGGCCATTCTGTGGTCACTCACCATGGCCAGTGGACATTCAGGATGGCCCATACCATCGGTGTCTTTGCCAATGAAATGGTACCAGTAGCCAGTGGCAGCACAGCAGTTGGTGCAGGTAAGTGACCCTAGGGTCCTTTCCATTCACGTGCTGAGCCCTGAGCTCACCTGGGGCTGGCTGGGGCTGGACCTCAGTGGCCTCAAGTGTTCTTCCCAGCCCTTTGCTGCTGCTGCTGCTCATCTGTCTGATCTTACCCCAAACCCTCAAACCTTCCTGTATCTTATGTCCTTCTTTCTCTGAGGGGGTGGATGGCTCACATTGACCAGTGGACCTTATTCTGGTCCCATGCCCCTCACTGCCCCTTGAGTGCCTCCTGAGCTTAGGTGACCTTTGGCACTTTGCTTAGACCACCCAGAGATATGTCCCCACCCTGGTTTAGGGTGGCTCCTGCAATGCCTCAAGTTTGCCCCAAGGCAAACGCCACCTTACATGACACTCGGGGACAATATTGGGACCAGAACTACTGTGGACATAAGGCAGCTGTCACAGGTCAGAGGGTGACCATTACTGCCAGGACCCCACAGCAGACCCCAGTCCCACCACGTGGACAGCACCAGCTGCGTGTACAGGAGCCCGGGCTCCCGGTGGCCACCACCTGGGTTTTCCCCCTCTGCGGCCACCTGGTCCTGCCTCTGGGTCCCCTCCCCGCAAAGCACCCAGACGCCCCTCCAGCCTCCCAATTACCTGGGGATCCGCGGCCGCACGCGCCGAGGAGGGTGCCCACGGGGGACAAGGACACGTCGCTTTAGCCGCCCCGGGCGGGGCCGCGGACGCATGTAAATGAACTTGCTGGGCGGGGGCGGGGCGGGGCGGGGCGGGGCCGCGCGGGGCGCTGGGCACCTGCTGCCGGTGGGCGGCCACGCCTCCGTTACCCGACCGGTGGCCGCGCAGTGGCGACCAGCACCCCGACCTGCTCGCAGCCCGCCCCCGCCTACCCACCGCCCCGCTGCTCCGGATCAGCCGGAGTCCAGGCTGGCGGCCACTCCCCCGGTGGGGAGCCCGAGCCCTTGGGGGCCCGCGGAAGCCCCAGGGCCGCACCTGGCCTCCGGTTTAAGGCTCAGAACACGGAGCCAGTCGAGCCAGTCGCGAGCCAGCCGTCCTAGGATAATGGAGAATCTTATTAATCTTTAGAATTTTGACACAGGGTTCCCCTAAATTGCTGGGGCTGGCCTGGAACTGGCAATCCTCCTGCCGCTAGTAGAGAATCTTTAAAGGACAGCAGCCACAATCCTTGAGCAAGGGCTAGGGTTCCCTGGCTCCCAGGGCACCCCAAGTTTTGCTGTAAACCCTGCATCCCCCAAGAGCTTGGGGATGCCTGGGTTTCCTTTCCCACGCCGCCCCCCAAACGCCCAGGCTTGGGGTGGTGCTATTGGTAGTTCCTGGTGGCCTGTCCTGGTTGGTGGGAAGGGGCTGGCAATTTCTGGATTTGGGGCAGACAGCTTGTGCTCAAAACCGACTCTGCCACTCATGGGCTGTGCATCACCATCCCTGGCGGCAGCCTGGCCACCTGCTACAAGGGATGAAAAGATGCTAAAAGCAGCACCTTGCTCAGGAGCTGAGAGGCCAAGCCCCAATCCAGGGAGGACTGTGTGTGTGTGGACTGTCATGTGGCTGGCAGCCTCAACTCCACTGGGCCGTGCTGCCATGTCTTGGGCACCTGTGAATGGGGACTCATGTCTGTTTCATCTACACACTAAGGGTCTCACCTGGGACGTGAGGTGACTAAAGTCAGCCCTATGGGCCATAGTTATGGCAGGAGGCTGTCGCATGCCTCTTAGACACTTGCACCTGGGGTAAGGGACCAGAGGGATGCCCCTCTCCATGCAGAAAGGCTGGTTTTGAGTGGAGATGAGCCTTGTGGCTAGGGGCTCTTTAAGGCTGGGCCAAGTGAGGACCTCAAGGACAGACGCTCCAAGGCAGCTCGGCACCAGGGCACCCTCCCCCGCCCTACTCTTGCATGATGGAAAAATCACAGAATAAACGAAGCAACAGAGTTTATAAATATATAACTATATTTATTTTGAATATTAAATAGTTTTTAAATTACAAGCAATTTATTGAATCACACTATGCATCAATATACAGTAAAAATCTTACAATTTAAAAATGTACACAATTTAAACTGAAAGTTCATTAACTGTTATATTGCCGTGAACCTCTTCTGACTGTTCAGTACAAAGGCCTGGTAGGTATGATCGCCCCAGGCCTCTATCTGTAGACGAGTCCCATCATCCAGACCCAGCTAAGCCATTCAAGCTGACCTGGACGGGTGTCGGTAATGCAATACTGTCAACACATCTTCAAGAACTTATTTATATGCTAGAGAGTTTTCTTTTTTAACAGCCAAGACTGGCGCCAACCGCACTGCTACTTAGGAATATTGTTTCTGAGATTTCTGTCTGAAGTAACTGTATGCCCATTCTTTTTTTAAGGCTACTCCTCATGAGATCTGAAGCCCCCCATAACTGAAACCCAACATTTGGAGTATGACACTTGCATTGCATCTGAATTTTTAGGTGACTGACTGAGTAGAGAACTCTGCCAGGCCCCCCCGGGACAGACATGCAAAGATCATTAACTCTACAAATACCCTATGGGAAGGAAATATGAGTGAAAGGAAGAGGTTTTTGAAAGGCGTTTTACGGCAGCAAGACATACAAAGATTTTTTTCTTAGATAAAACCATCTCTATAGAAACAGTCAGGCCTGAACATTTAAAAATAGAATGGATGATTTGTTTTTAATTCAGCTTTCTTCTTTCGCCCTTAAGATGAATGGCTTCTGACCCAGACACAGGATCTGAGTCTCAGAAGGATCTGGGAGGACTTTCTCTACAGTTCTTTTTCTGCTTATGACAGGGCCGTTTGATAACACAAATCAGCATCTAGCTAGAAGGGGAATGACGGTTAGATTATTCGTATTACATGATTTAAACATACACACTCCACCAAAGTAAGATCTAAATCAAGTCGTATGGTAGCCATCCCGTATGGCTACCCAAAGGAGGCCAGGAAATGCCTCAGGTATTAGCCCCCACTTGGTCTAGAGAATGCCGATGATTTACTTCATTGCATAACTTTTTAGAACAAGTACCATTCATAAAACCCACTACTGGTAACCAACTTATTAGTTAAAAAATAAAAAGAAATAAAGAAACCCAACAACAACCCCCCCAACAACCCTGAATTGAACAACAAAGTGCATGCTTGACACTTCAAAATGGGTTGAAGTTTTAATCTATTGAATTAAATTTCTTTGTATTGCTTGAGATTTCAAAAAATCATGTTGACTCACATGTGTATCAGAAATACAGTCTTCCCTTCCATGCAACACCACAGTAAGATCCAACCCACCCCATTCCCAACTCAAGGTATAAAATGCTTTTGGCAATTAATTATGAGAGTGATACAGACCTAAAATTAAAAAATGTGGGAACTATGTTATTAAAAAATCTTGACATAGTGAAAAAAAGTACAGCCCCCAAATAGCAGTAAATGTATCCTGGGCTAACTACGTAAGAAGGCTATATATTCTATGGATCTGCTTGATTTTTTAGTCACTTAAGTCTGAACTCCTTAAGCCTATAATTTGAAAAAATGAACATAATCACATCTCATTTATCTCTCAACCAAGACTGGTAAATAGAGGTAAAAAAATCAGAAAACTCAGGAAGTTGCCACAGCAAGAAATTCAGTTCTGACATTTTGGCAAAATCACCTTCCAAAGCCCTGCTTCCATGTCCAGACCCAGTGCTCAAACCCGGCCGGAGTGCACTATGGTCAGACCACGGTGGGGGTGGGGGGACTCCATTCTGAATTTTCTTGCTTTGGAAAGTTTTATTGCTTAGTAGAAAAAAATTTGCAGAGTGAATTGGAATTCATAATAAAGGTCACAATTTACCACCTACATACACTCCAGCCAAGGTCCACATTTGCATTCTGCACAGGGACTGGAGCCAGCTGACGTCACAGCTCCAGCCGCAGTCTAGAGACTCATTCCAGTGTCTTGCTGGAGTCTGGAAATCAGATCAGCACCCGAAAATATTTGGGGCGAAGGACCAGTGTGAGGGGACCCACCCCAGTAGGATCAGTGCTAGCTCAGCACAGCGCGGCTATGCCACACTAGCCATCGGAGACTTCCTGGTGCCAACACAGAGCTCAAGGATGGTAGGATGAGGGCAGCTTCGGGTCAGGGACTCCTGATTCCTGCCAGCCTGTGATGAAGCCGCACTGCAAATGCTCAGTCCCTTTCAAAACAAGAGGAGAACAAGAAGGAAAAGGCTGTGCAGAGGAGCCCCTGGGCCACGCAAGTTGTGACAGTCACACAGGATAACCCTGAGGACACATCGGCTGCTGGGCTCTGCCGAGGCCCCCTGTTTTCTTCCTGGCAGCTGCAAGGTACAGTCTATCTCCTGGGTTACAAAGACACCAGCCATGACTTGGAGTGGCTCTGAGGGGGAAATCAGCTTTGGAGATTTCCTTTTTATCCAGTGCTAGGAATGGAAGCAGGGTCTCAGGCACGCAAGGCAAGTGCTCTACCACTGAGCACTCTCCCTGGAAATTTTTTAAGAGCTTGATTCAACCACACCCAAAGTAGACAGACAAAATTATCCATACCGTGCCCAGCATCCAGAGCCCTCTACTGGGACGCGTGGGGATGCCAGTGCCTCGGAGGAGGGACAGGTAGAACCCCTGCAGCCTGGCCCCCCTGGGGGAGGGGGAGGGGGCGGAGGCCACACTCTGCCTGCAACTTGCCTGACCTGCTATGGCAGAAACTGGCCTCAGAGAACAGTGACCTGCAGCCAAGTTCCGGGGTGCACCTCCTGTCAATTTTTACCAAAAGGGTTGAAAAAGTGGGCGCAGAGTGGGAGCATCCCACAGAGAGGCTGCAAGGCCTTTGAGCTGCTCAGAGAGGCCTCATGTGCTACAGGGGAAGCAGCTAATAGAGAACAGACAAAATGTGTTCGATTCTATCAACAAAACAGCAGTATTTTTGGACTCATCAAAAATATTTCCTATAAGAACATAAAACACTAACATTCAGAATCAATATCATTTATGAAAGAGTACCATATGTACAGTTCCAACAATTCTGAAGACGGCATAACACTCAAAATATTTAAGCTTTACAAGTACCATGCAGAGCAAATAAACTATTTAAAAAAAATCAAACTAGTGAATAGCACCAGCTTGACCTGCCGTATTTTCCTTGAATAATTTACGATTCTGTACAATATTGGGACTCTTGGAACACTTATCCACAGTGCAATTACAGAGAGCAATTAGTGATTTCTTTAAGAACAATAAATATGGCTCACTTGTGACCATTCCCCTGGTGCACCCTCCACAGCACCTGTACCCAGACCAGGAGGCACAGGTGTGGACGTGGAAGAGGAGGCAGAAAACAGACACACACCCCAGTGCACATGGTTCCCCCACACACGTGGAGGCAGTGTGCCACCTTGCCAGGATGACCAGCCACGAGCACTTCAAGTGTGAGGGGCCGCGGGTGTGCAGCTGCAGAGGGCCCAGCTGCCCGGCCCGGCGGCGGTCCAGCAATCTTTCACCTTTGGAGTCCCTCTCCCAGGCTCACGGTGGCCAGCGGTGGGCAGGACTGCTCGGCTGACTCGGGATGCTGCTTGGTGGAGTTGTCTGCAGCAGCTAATCTTTTTCTCCATCTTCACTGCTGCCTATTTGGGAGACGAAACAACATGACACGATGGATTTTAAGAACTGTCCCCAAAAGTAAC